TTTTCCCAAATCTTGCTTCAACAATTCATCACCAGCACTTTTGGTTTAATATTATTATTACGGATTGGTTGTCCCTCATTTTTTAGATTGTTTCCAAACTATTTTAGGCTTTTTTTGTCCAAAGGCTATATGTTTTGCCTGTGTGTGTTGCATGCTAGTTTTTATAATGTAGCTATTTATTTTTTACTGCTTTTTCGGAACTGATTTTACAGTTTAAAATTTGACCATTTTTTGAGTCTCATGCAAATTTGGAATAATTTTTCTAAATTTTCAGTCATGAAAAAATTTGCTGTTCAAATTTTTAAGGAAATTTTCAAGACAAGAAGAAAATTTGGATTTCAAACAAAAAATTTGAAATTTGAACATTGGAATTTTCCTGTCATTTTTTTCAAAAATTAATTTTTGTTGGAGTGTCAATGGATTTTCCGGTTTCCTTAGCTGTAACAACTTTTTTGAATTATCGAGAGCTGATTATTAACTGAAATGCGTTTTCTCTTGCACAGCTGATGCGCAAAATGAGTCGATTTTTGCTCCTGGAGATCGTTTAAAGTGCAAGATGAAATTGCTTGTATGGCGCAGTTATTTACAGTGGTGCTATGTTGACTATTGCTTCATCGTGGTACTCATTTCGGCGACGTTCCTAGAACTTTTGCTCACGTCCTTCCAGCTGTCCTGTAACCTTCACAGTAACATCGTGCCAGTACCATTCCGATCCGTCCATCCGTTGCCCGTCGTTCTTGCCACTTAGCTTCCCTTTGAAGCCCTAGCAATGACCATCAACAAAATCATTAACTGTTGGGGAAAACTTCCTTGGTCCAAAATCTCATTTAGAACACAAAACCCGGAACATTCACGTAAGGTTTTGAAAGCCTCCCCATATTATTGACAAGTGTATTTTGTTCAGCTGAACTACTCCGAGTTTATGTAACCGTCCAGTTATTAGCTTAAAGTATATGATCATAGATGATTTAGATTTCTCGGATTGCTTAGATTTTGTGTTTTAGCTCCAACGCGTGTCATCAAACATCTTCACCCTTTCTGTGTTTATGGCTTGTATGTGTTCTTTCCACTGCATTTTCAGGAAACATTTATCATTCACAGGCAAAGCACAGATAAACCAAACACAACAATCTGATAAATTAATGAAAGGCTTAAAAATACAAATTAATTAACTGAGCAGCATTAAAACAAATTTTAAATTAAATGAACGAACAGAAATTGTTGTGGCAGAAGTAGAGAAAAATTAAAAAATTATGAAGCTGGACAAAAATTTTTTAACGAACTGGTAAGGAATGTTTCTATTCATAAAATCATACATATTCCTTCTAATACCACAATTAAAAACAAATCGGCACATTTATATTACTTGAGCAACTAAAAACAAGACTTATTAATAAATGTATGTACACTCGGCAACGAAGCAAACTGAAGTGCTAAAAATTTGCTAGCGGGTTCCCCGGCCAAGTACCCCCAGGATCGCAGTACCAATGCTCATGCACGTCTAGGCTCCGCGTACGGCCATGTGGAAGTTTTGGCGGGAAAACCGCCAACTCTGGAATCTTGAGTATTATTAAAATTATACAACTTGAGCAACATATCAATACAATTACATAACTTGAGAAGCATTAAAAACAACTACTACAAATACATGAGCAAATTAAAACCAAATTTCGATATCAGATTTCAGACGTACTCGATGTGCTTCTTATATACAACGACGGCCCCTTTTCCTTCATCACCCTCTTCTTGAAGAGACTAT